TTTGATTGTTTGCTTTTTCTGGGCTGTGTTTTGGTGAGGTTGAGAAAATTGCTTTAAAAGTGGATATCAACTATTTGTATCACTCTTTTTTTTTTTTTTTTTTTTTTTTTTTTTTTTTTTTGGCTGTCAGAGACATAGCAATGGAAATAGCTTCCTGTTCTGGAGGTTAAAAATAATGGATCTAGGAGGGAGTTATTTACACGGGCAGTTCGGAGGCTTCCCCAGGAGCCTCAGTCAGGAGAGCTGTGAGATCCACGGTGGAGGCTGGATGTGCGGGGAGCGTCTGCAGGAGAGTGGCCTGTGCGCTGCCCTGTGATTATGTGCCACTGTTCCCTGCTGGTGACAGACCAGGAAACAGAACAGCCTCGCAGCCCTGGGTGGGGCTGGGGGATGGGGTGTGTGCGTGGGGGGAGCCTCAGGTTGGGAAAGAGCGTCAAAAGTCAAGCCTCACTTGTTCTGAAGTTCGTGATGTCCGGCAGATTAATCCCCTAGATTGCGGGAATGCTATTCGAGCATCCCAGTGAGAGAACCTTTTCTCATCATGCGGTGTGAAAGGCTTGGGGTGGGGTGCTGGTGGGTGGCCGTGCAGACCTCGCTGAAGCGGAGCTCCCCGCAACTGGAGCAGGGAGAATGAAACTGAATGTGAAAATAAAACAACAGCCCAGAAGAAGGGAAACAAAATTAATATTTGTGGGAGAAAAATCCTTGTTGCCGCCGTTTTATGAACTGAAAGCCTATTTGTCGAAACCTGTCAGGATTTTTCTCTAAACCTCTGCAGGTCCCAACTTCTCTTGCATTCATTTCTCTGGGTGCAACTCCCACCTTTTGCTTGACCTCAGGTGATGACAGAATAATTTCGGAGATGTTTCTCTTCTGGTCTCTGGTCTGGCTCCTTCTAGGTCATGCCTTACAATTATTTGCTGGTTTGTTACTTGAATAACCTCGATTTCAGGAGAGCATTTTTGGAAAAGTGATTAATAGAATATTGCGAGTTTAAAAATATTCCTTAGGTAGCCGAGTTTCCTTGCAGTGCACAAGAGAGTGTATGTATCTCAGTGAGTGTGTCTGCAAAGCAGGGAGAAATGGATGGTTAAGAAATATCCCGGGGTTTTAAAGGACATAAATTGGTCTGTTTAAGAAATGCTTTGTTTGATTGTTTGCTTTTTCTGGGCTGTGTTTTGGTGAGGTTGAGAAAATTGCTTTAAAAGTGGATATCAACTATTTGTATCACTCTTTTTTTTTTTTTTTTTTTTTTTTTTTTACTTTTTATTTTATATTGGAGTAAAGCTGATTAACAATGCTGTGATGGTTTCAGGTGCACAGCAAAGCAACTCAGCCATACATATACATGTATCCATTCTCCCCCAAACTCCCCTCCCATCTAGGCTGCCACATAACATTGAGCAGAGTTCCCTGTGCTATACAGTTAAGTCATTGTTGGTTTTTTTTAACACTCTGGAACGTTTGGATCTCCTTATCACTGCTTGATGGGATTAGAGCCTGAATTCTTTAGTTTTTGACCCACTCACTGGCTTCAGCACATTTGGAGGGGGAATATCCTTGCTCAGTTAGGGTCTGGAGGGGGGCAGGAAATTAAACTTTGCCTTTGGGGCTTTGCCAATAGATGTGTTGAATTCTTCAGGCTTTCGAAATCAATTTTTGACGACAGCAGCAGAGAAGAGGCAGAGAGGGAATGGAGAGATCAGAGTATAGGAATAATGGATATTTACCTCTTAATGGTTTATCTTAAAATAAAGAGTAAATACAGTCCTTATCACTGAGAATTCTCTTGCTGATTTCTGTTTCCAGAGGGTGGAAGGATAGCTGTCTGGGGGTGGGAGGACAGCTGCTCAGAGCTTTCTAGAAGTTGCTATTCAGAGGGCATCTGGCAGGGGCTTTGAAAAGGAGCCTTGGGCCAGGTGTTGAGAGATTTGGGTTTGGGGTTCCAGTGTTAGCAGTAGGTTAGCTGTGTGCCTTTGATGCAATCAGGTAACCTTTACAGTATTTAATAGTCTCAGTAAAATGACAAGACTGGACACGGATGTGGTTGTAATTCTTTGTGGTTCTCAAAACCCTGATTTTATGTACCTTGTTAATTGCCTCATACTACAAAGTTCTAGACCAATCTTGACTATGTCCAGCTACTCTAGTTTGACAAAAACGTAGAGTCTACAAGTATTTCCTTTTGAAACATACATTTTCCTATGTTAGTTCATTTAGTGAGTGTTAATAAAGATCAAAGGAGAGATCCTTGAACGAGATCTTCAACCTTTCTTACTGGAGTGATTTTTAAATCTTTTAGTTCTCTTACTATTTATAAGATCGTTCCCATGTGATTTTTCTGAAGGATGAGGTATTTAATCGGGAATCAAGACAGGGGCTTTGCCAAAGGAACATAAAATTAATCCTATTGTTGAAATGGATGTTGACTGCTTGGTGTTTGGTAAAAGCATCCCTACGAGAAGCTGTTGGGGAGATGGGTAGCTCTGTGTTCCGCCGCTTTCAGGAAAGATGAAAAATGTTGAAATCAAATGGGAGGAAGGAAATGTGGCAAATCACAAGGAGCCGGACTGTTCTTAACAGAGAAAACTCAATTTTGTCTGCTTTTTTCCAGCAAATTCCATTTGATATTTTATATCTTCTTGATAACTTAATAAGGAATCTCAGGAAGGAGTTGCAGAACTTTAACTTAGTAAAAGAGAATTTGTCATTTGTGACATTTCTCCTCTAAAGAGCAGGGGAAGATCAGTGTATTAGCTTGTAGTTCGTGCATTACTACTTGCAGCTATTTCTATTGGGAAAGGAAACAGCATGTCATACAGCAAAGCTTGGCACAGTGGGGCATTTTGGCTCGATCCCTAAACCTTCACGGAACTCTGCTAGGGACCAGGCATTGTGCTAGGCATACGTGGGATCTGTACATAATAAGAAAATCCCTGCCTTCAAGGAACACCACCACTCAATTTTTTAGAAGATAAGTCCGTAGCAGGCAGTTCATTTAGAGTAATGTAACACCAATATTTAAACAATGGGAATGTTGGGTCTGCATTCAAAATAGGCACAGACTCCTCCTACTTCCCACCTGCGATCACCTTGAGCTGGCCTCCCTCTTCCCACCTTGTACCTGCGCTCTCCTTTCCACATGCGGCCAGAACAAACCTTTGGAAACCTGAGTCACAGCATGTCACTGCCCTGCCCTTCCCCCTCCAGTGGTTCCCAGTTGCACCAGATGCTGCCAAAGACCTTTCAGTTGTTTACAATGTCCTACTGATAGGCATGGCCTCCCTCCTTTATAACTCACACATTTTCTCTCTCTCTCTCTCTCTCTCTCTCTCTCTCTCTCTCTCTCTCTCTCGCTCTCTCTCGCTCTCTCTCGCTCTCTCTCGCTCTCTCATTATTTCTCTTTCTCTCCTACTGTTCTGACACTCACTCACTCACTCTACTCTCCCCACACTGGCTTCCTTGCTGGTCCATGCACATGCCAGGCAAGTTCCCACATCAGGGTGTTTACAGCGACCCCCTCTGCCTGGGCCCCTCTCCCAGAGATGGCTGCCTGACCAGCTGCTGGTGTCTTTCAAGTCTTTGCTCAAATGTCACCACAGCCTCAGTGAAGCCTCACCCCGACTACCTTATTTAACATGACAACTCACCTCCTACCCCTTACCTCCAACCCTCCTTGTTCTGCTCTGTATCTTTTCCCATACACTTATCACCCTCTGGCTTACTGTAGGATTTACTCATTTATTCATTTTGTTTAACATCTGTCTTTCTCCACTGGAATGTAAGCTCCAAGAAGGCAGGATCTTTGTTTAGTTCAACGTTGTTCGGTCTAGAACAATCTAGAACAATGCCTGACATGCAGCAGGCACTCCCTCATTATTTGTTGAATGAGTGAGTGAATGAATGAGAAAGAGAGACTAATTCTGACTGAGAGTTCTAGGCAGAATCATGAGGAAGAATCCTTTGAGCTGGCTGTTGAAGGATGGGCAGAGTTGGACCGTCGGGTTTTCTGGGGAAAGACAGTCCAGGTCAAAGGAATATTTTGAGCAAAGGTAGAAAAGTGGCGGAGCCCACTTGTGCTCCTGGAACAGCAAAGAGTCCCAACTAACCGGTGCCGGGGGCCAGTGAGAGCACTTAAGGGTGGACAGATAAACTAATGGATAGAAAAATAACGAAAGGCGACCCTGGGTGGAGTGAGGGAACAAATTACTAATCACTGTCCATGTTGAGAGGGCAGGCGAGTCGAGGGGTTGGAATCTCAAACAAGCAGCGTGCGTTGTCCCTTTAAGAAATCAGGGAGAGATTGTCCCTTTTAAGAAATCAGGAATGTGAGTAGTGTTTGCTAATGAGATCTCATTTTTATATAGTACTTGACTGTTTTCAAAACATGGTCACATGTTCAGTATGATGGAGGCTTCAGAACAACTATGTGAAGTTGGTATAATAGCTAATAGGCAGGTTTTTATTTACATGATTTGATCAACTTAATTGCATTTTACTGTATCAAGCCAGCTAAGTGACTCGTAGTTAGAAAGCGGAGAAGCGGCTTCCCACTGCCTTGGGGCTCATCACACTGTGTTTCTCCTTCTGCCAGTCTGCCTCTTTCATTCCCACACAATCCTAAAGATGTCATGCTGGGATTTTTCACCAGGGTACAAGCTTCTTCCCATTTCCCCCATCATCGAAAGTAGCGGTTTCTTCTTTATCAGATCCATCTTTCTCTTTCCTCCTTTTCCACTTCACTTTATCTGGAATAATTATGAGAATGATGAACACATGTAGAAGGTGGGTGTGTTTTTACCTTGGCCTGTTCAGCATCCTTTCAGGCTTAGGCTGAGACGGTCTGAGCCAGCACCTGAAGTGCTCTAAAGTTGTGTCTGTCTTTCGTGTGGTTCGTGGGTGGAAGGGCAGAGGAAGCATGTCCACGACTCCGTGTGAGTGTCTTCAGGCTCGCTTGTTGCTCGCTTTGGGAGTAAACCTGATCTTCTTAATTCCCCCAGATATTAGTAGGCAGGACGAGGCGGAGGGAGAACTCAGCGAAGGAGAACACTGGTATGGGAACTCTTCAGAGACGCCGTCGGAAGCATCCTATGGAGAAGTCCAGGAGAACTATAAGCTGTCCCTGGAGGACCGGATCCAGGAGCAGTCCACCTCCCCCGACACCTCCTTGGGAAGCGGGACCCCCAGCAGTCACACGTTGGAGCTGGTGGCACTTGACGGTGAGGTCCTGCGAGACCCACTGCAGTGTCCAGATCACCTCTCCCCCGGCGTGTCTTCTTTGTGTGATGACGATCCCGTGGGCTCCACCAAGCCCTTGAGCAGCAACTTGAGACGGCTGCTAGAGGCCGGGTCCCTCAAACTCGATGCCACGGCCACGGCCAACGGCAGGGTGGAGTCCCCTGTCACCGTCGGCTCGAATCTCTCCTTTTCCCCACCGTCCCACCATGCCCAACAGCTCAGCGTGCTGGCCAGGAAGTTGGCAGAGAAGCAGGAACAGAATGACCAATACACTCCAAGTAACCGTTTCCTATGGAATCAAGGTAAGTGGTTGCCAAACTCAACCACCACCTGCGGCTTGTCCCCGGATTCGGCCATCCTCAAACTGAAAGCTGCAGCCAATGCTGTTCTGCAGGACAAATCGCTGACCAGGACGGAGGAGACCATGCGATTTGAGTCCTTTTCCTCCCCTTTCAGCTCCCAGTCTGCCAGCTCCACCTTGGCAGCTTTATCCAAGAAAGTCAGCGAGAGAAGCTTGACTCCTGGCCAGGAACACCCGCCCCCGGCCAGCTCTTTCCTTTCCCTGGCTTCCATGACCTCCTCAGCGGCCCTTCTGAAAGAGGTCGCAGCAAGGGCTGCCGGGACCCTTCTGGCTGAGAAATCGTCACTGGTGCCTGAGGACCCTCTCCCGCCACCGCCTTCAGAGAAGAAGCAAGACAAAGTGACCCCGCCGCCACCTCCGCCACAATCCTTGGAATTATTGTTACTCCCAGTTCCTAAGGGAAGAGTGTCTAAACCCTCCAACTCAGGTATGGATGCTTTCATTTCCATCATCTTGTAAGTCTTTTTTTTTTTTTTTTACCTGTCAGCTGCAACGTCTAATTCATTGCCTTCTTTGCTTGGGTTCCCCATCGGATCTGAGGCAGGAATAAAAAAGCAGGAGCATGACAAAATACTTTAAGTAAGCAGCCTAGGGGGTTCTTTCATGTATGTGTGACGCAAAAAACTTCACCAATAGCTTTAGTTTTGAAAGGTAATGAATAATCTTAGAGACATACAGTACTCCTCCGTTGCATAGAAATGATTTTTTTTTTTCTTACCAAGTTCAGGCTAGGTCCACACAAGATATATTTAACAGGGGAAGATCAAAGCACCTTCGTCATGGAGTGCATGGCATCCCTGAACAGACGGGAGAAGAAAAACTCACTGCTTTTGAAACAGTTGATAAGAGAGCGCTTACCGTCCTACTGCCTCCATGACAAATGGACTTTTGTATCATCAGTAGCTATTCTGCCCTAATTTACCACACTGTATACTTTCATGTTAGTATTTATATTAATTTTTTGTGGAACGTAAGCCTTTACTTATCGTGTTCTTCCATAATATCTTGTCACACAAGGACTCTAAAGAGTATTGTCATCCAGATGTAATCAAAGCATTTCCTGCAAATGCTTTATTTTATTGCAGTCCAATCAGATTCTGAAGGAATGTGCATGTGGAAAATGTGAATCATGGGTTTTTCTTGTGGAGACGGTCTTTCCAAAGGAGAAGTGGCCGTTTTATAGAGCCTTGACATTCACAGTTATTCATCTGAGGGAGAAACTTAGTCACTTGAGTCCTCACAGTGGAAACATCATTTCTTGTACTGCTTTGTTTCTAAATTATGCCCATGGTAAGTACAGGGCCCCAGAGATGGATATATGGAGTTTCGGATGTCTCTTGAGGATATCCTGCCAGACTGGAACAGGAAGTGGGCCATGTGTGTCCTCATCAGTAGAAACGCTGCCATTGTGTGCGTCTAGCCAACTTTTGATTATTTGCAGCCATGTTGATGACAGGGGCTTAGAATGGCAAATAACTGACTGAACAATCACAGCTAACATCAGTTTGATGCATTTATGACAAATTTCCATTTAAATTGCTGAGTGAGCTATAGGCACTCATTATAATTACTGGAAAACTTGTGTAAACAGCAGAACAGAGCTAGGCAAATGGATATGTGGAACTTTTATGACTCTTTAAGTGATCCAAACTGCTCAGTCCAGGGTTTCTGAAGTGTCAATAAAATCCTGGAATCTTGATCAATTCTGAGTTTCCCTACTCTTCACTTCTCACTCGCCATCTGGGGAAATAAAGAGAAAAATAGCTAAAATTAGGAAAAGGGGGACAAGCAGAGGGAGTGGGGTAATTTTGCAAGGGAAAAAATCACTCCTGGTTTATAGAAATTTCATTTAGGGGTAGGAGCAGAAAGAGAGGTATGGCTATCTGTGTAAAATGTCACTTTTTAAGTATTCTCCATCTGGTTATTAAATAACTGTATTAATGATGTTTCTCCTGTAAATTCACCTGGACATTAGTTACTAGGAAAAGCTTACACAAAATTAGTAATAAACTTGAGTTGGCTAAAGGCTTGGAAAGAGGGAACTGATAAAACTGTCTCCTGACGGCAGACTGTAATGGCTTTGTCATTTTCAAGTGTCTTGGGTGTAACCAGCAATAGTTATGAAGTGTGATCTTTTCACTCAAGTGACTAGATGCACGTGAAGATGGGAGAAAGGTCATGAGCTTCCAGGGTGGGCGATAGACTGTTTGCCTGTTTCGTTGTAGGATCTACACTCTAGGGATGAGATGTGCTCCCTTTTTGGTTTAAATGCACTTAATCCATGCCCATACCTCCACAGGCTTCTCAGCAGAATTGAATATGGAGATCTATACGAAACTGAGTTTTTCTTTTTTCTTTACTGAATGTATTCTGTTGCTGAAACACTTAATATTTGAATCAATGAACATGTTCCAACTGAAAGAGGAGGGAAAAGAAGGGGCTCTGCCACCCCTTTTGCTGATGGACAGGGACCTGTGTCCCCTGTTTTCCACATGCCTCTGTTCACAGTCCAAGGCTTGGCAAAGTGGCTCCATTGACTGAGTGATTGTATTAAAAAACAAAACAAAACAAAACATTCATTTTGTACAACTCACACAAGACAAAAGATCACTGCAAAGAGAAACACGAGGGCTCTTGAAATGATCCCCTGTGTGTCCATGTGGGCGCATCCTAAATTCAAGTTGTGTTTCTTTAAAACTTTTACTTATCAAACCATAGTTGCTTTACAATATTGTGTTAGTTTCAGGTGTACAGCTTCAGATTCTTTTCCATTATAGGTTATTACAAGATGTTGAATATAGTTCCCTGTGCTATACAGTAAATCCCTGTTGTTTATCTATTTTATATATAGTGATGTGTATCTATAAATCCTTTACTCCTAATTAATCCTTCCATTCCTTTCCCCTTTGGTAACCATAAGTTTGTGTTCTATGTCTGTGAGTCTATTTGTTTTGTAAATAAGTTAGATTCCACATATAAGCGATATCATGTGATATTTGTTTTTCTGTCTGACTTTCTTTACCTAGTATGATAATCTCTAGGTCCATCCATGTTGCTGCCAATGGCATTATTTCATTCTTTTTAATGGCTGAGTAATATTCCATTGTGTGTGTGGTGTGTGTGTGTGTGTGTGTGTGTGTGTGTGTGTGTGTGTGTGTGTATACCATATCTTCTTTATCCATTCATCAGTTGATGGACATTTAGGTTGGTGGACAAGTTCTGTTCTGTATTGCATGGACTGGAAATAGGAGAGGGGGTGCCTCTGTGCACTTTTCACTTAAAGTGAATGTCATCGCTTCCCAGCATCCTAACTGGATTATGGGTTAAGAAGTTGATAGAATATCTGATTTTGTTATTTACTTTGTACCATGGAGAGATAATTTGGCTGGTGTCACTTGAATCACTGGTTTTTGAATCTGAGGAGTGGAAGGGAAGGTGGGTCTTCTCTGTCTGCCCTCTCCTCTCCCTTTCTCCACACGGTACTGTTGGTTTCAGGGCCACCTGGGGGCTGGATTTGGATGTGGCTTGACTTTACCTAAAAAGCATTATGGGAATGCAGTGAGAGCTGTCACCCATGCTTCGAAACAGTTCTCGTGATTATTTTTTTCCTTTACTTTAGAAAGAAATCTTAGTTTAATTCAAAATAGGTAGGTGGACCGACTTCTCACAGCAGGGAAAGGGTTTCTGTTGCCTACTACTTAAATAAACAAATAATAACCAAACAAAATTTTTAAATCCACAGAAATAAGTTACACATCATTCCGATTTCAAGTGGGGCTTTACATTTTAAAGCTGTTTCTCAAAATGTTGCAAAAAGGGCATATAAAGTTGATTCTGGAGTTACAAAGGGAGATGTGCTGGAAAAGCCAGTCCTGTCTTGAGTCACTTAGACATTAGCATTTCTTTGACCTTCTTTAGGTCAAGGGAGGTCCAAACCATGAAAAAAAAAAAAAAGTGTCTTTTAGGTCTGCCCTTATTTGTCTTTTTTGAACAGGATTCAGTTGTTGCCAGGTCATGGTGTATTTCATTCCTTAAAGAGTCCACCACTCGATAGCCTTTCCCCCTGCAAGGAGAGGTGACACTGGAGGAGGAGGTTTCTTTCATGTGACCCTGTGCCCCGGCACATGTGACACTGCTCCTCTGAAAGGGGACACGATAGAGAGAAGATCATGTCCATTTGCTCTAAAGATAAATGTCACACATTGACTCAATTCTCTTTGAAGCTACTGTTCTGTTGCAGCTCAGAACAAAATAAATGGTTTTTATTTTAAAGACAAAGTTTCTTGTAGAAGGCCAACAAGATTCCCAGGATGCCAGGCTCCTGGTTAAAAGAAATCACTCGGCGAGCTTCCGAGAAAGTGTCTCTAAAGCATCTTATTTTCCTGAGTTAAATTTAAATATGCTTAGAAGCAAGCTGGTCTCATATAGCTGAGAGCTAAGAATATTTCCTGGGTCAATAGATACGGTTTTCTGGCTGCTGTTTTTATTCCTGTTTATGAGATGTTATTAACATTATTGCAAAAGCAGAGAAAGTCCAGAAAGTCAGGTCACCTCTTCTGATACTCCCCTTAGGTCCATCGTTATTAGAGCCGTAATCTGGGGATGATGGCATAGAGGGACTTCCTTAGAAATTTCACTTTTTAATCAAGATTCAGAACTATCTGTCACCGGTCTCACTTATATTTCCCCAGTGATTTAATCTTAGACTGCTTCAAGATATCAGACTTCTCTCTTAGTTTTACTGAATGCTTACCAGTTGTTAAAATATGCATCGATTATCTTGATGTCAGTAACAGCAGAAAGACCCAGTGACATCCATTGCCAACATAGGTTTTGTTTCCCTGAAATAGGAGTTGAGAGACATGCCCAAGAAATTCCAATGGAAAGATGTTAAATCCATGTATATTGCTAGGAAGGAGGATGATGGCTCATCCTCCGGAGATACGCACTAGTAGGTTAGTGGGCCTAGAGTGGGGACGGATGGTGCAGGGATTAAACACACCCAGGGCCACCTGGCATCTTAAACTCCTTCGATGTGTATGGAAAGGTCTGTTTGCGGAAACGACCCACTTGCAAATTATCTTGCCACTTAGGATATAACAAGGCAAAGTTTGATTTCAAAGCCTCCAAAACAATTACATTTCTTTAAAAAATTACCTACCTTGAGTTACAGTGATTTAGTTAAAACCCTCCATGATTTTTTTTTTTTTTAACCCAATGAAGTTTTTATGTATAGACAATAGGGCAGAGCACCAACCGGACATGAAGAGATTGGCTGTCATCCCCACCTTTCCACTAATGAGCAGAGGGACCATACTAAGCATAAATCTCAGTTCAGTTTCCTCAACTGTACACTGAACTGCTTGGAATTTATCCTCCAAGATTGTTCCCCACTTTAAAATTCCTTGCTTTTACTTTCTTTATTTG